ATAGTCAGAAAGACGCGAGTTGCATGCGGTATGAGGACGAGGACATGCATTTCTTGAGATAATGGTGGTCGGCAGCAGGTGGTCCTTACCCATCCACGACTCTGCGTTCGTAACCAACGCAACATGCCGATATATACCATATCTGATTAGTATTTATAAGCAGTGCTCCTGCATTTCGCAACGGTATAACTTATATTATGCAAGCAAGCGCAATGTATGATGTCACGGGACGGGTTTATGAAACTTTCATGTAATATTTTTTTACTTATTTATTCATAAAAGATTATTAAACAGTAAAAAATATCATCAACGATTATAAAACCAATTAAAATTTGTAATTTGTTCTCATTTCTAGATTCTTTTTAATTATATTATATATGAGCCATTTTTCAAGAATTTTAGAATATTTATTTTGCCTTCAAATTATATTATTCAATATTTATTAGATATATTTTAAAGAAAAGAAAATCATTCAAAATTCTAAACAACATTTTCCTATTTAATCCACGACATAAAGTTAACATCTTTGTGGATTCCTTACCGTCGTTTAAACAGAACACACCATTAATTATACTACAATAAAGTTATTCACTAAATTGCCAAACTATATTATAGAATGGGGCAGGTTCAAAAATTTTGATTTTTTTTTAGTAGTATTTCAGTTCAAAATAAAGCTATAGGTATTTAATTTTTTTTTTTATCTATTCATTTGCCTGAGTTATTAATTTTTTTAAATTTATTATGTAGCCGGAAATAGACCAATGAAAACTAGCCACACAACGTTGCCAGTTAGACGGTATATAAGAAGTAATATACGTTTGTTTTTGTGCACCGTCTTACTTTTAGACTTCTAAAATGTCGTTAAACAAATATCATTTAAATATAAAATATCAAATGTTTTCAAAAGTATTATTTATAGTTTCATTGTTTTAAAAAACAACAACTGATAAACAAGAAAATGGCAATGCGACAGCACTGTATGTCTCATCTGTCAATCAAGAATTTGTGTGTTGTGTCAATCGATAATTATTTAATTTTGATGATTTTATACAGTTCATCAAATTTCTAGAGGTGTTCGACGCCCAGACAGAGAACGCGCTACGTGTGACTAAGATAGCTATTGTACAGTCTGCTAAACAAGTTATTTTAAATAGTTTTTAATATTTTTAGGTAATTAAATTTTAAAAGTGTGGAATAGTTTAGGGATTAAATTGGTCTGATTGGACTTTCTTAGAACGTTTTTAAAAGCAGCTAAAGATAGTATGTAGAATTGAAAATAATTATTATGCCATAAAAGGTGTTTTGGAATTCCTTTAACCTTTTGAAATTGAGTCAGAAAATATAAATTTTATAGGATAGCGGAAAATACCTATAATTTTTTTGTAGGCCTTTGTAAATCGTGGAAATAGTTTATATTTTATTTCTACCTTATTAAGGAAAATGGTACCTATTATTAATAACGGTTGTTTCTGAAACATTACTAAAATTTTCGAAATTTTGTTTTTCTACAAAATAATAAACTATACTATTTAGAAAAAAATTTATTTCTCTTATAATTTTATAAAAAATAACAGGGGAATATTTACATTTCTTGATCTATTAAACAAAACGATAAATTATCTCGACGAATGACACCATGTTCTAGTACGGAAGCTAGCTTTACATTTTTGTTGGTGGTTTCATGGGTTTCATATCAATTTTTTGTAACTGTAGTTTACACGTACATATACCTCTTAACACTTGTTTGCTTTATTAAAAAAGTGTGTTGTTGTGATTTACGTCGAAATAAGTCAAAAACAACTTGAAACCCCATATAAAATCAAAAAGGAGAAACGGAAAAAAATTGAGCCTGTAAATGAACACAACTCAGAAACAAAAATAGCTATCTAATAATAAAAAAATAAAATTTGATTCTTGTGCAGCTTCATCTATATCATTAACTGTTTTTGGTTTTTTAATGGTTTTTCTTGGTGATGAAAATTCCGATATCTCACGGTTATCGATTCTTTTTTTCTCTCCAGAAATGCGGACGACAGTGTTTTTAGATACTCTTGTGGCTGCAGCAACACGATCATTTACATTTTTAAATGGTATTGAAGGTGAATTAAAGTTTCCTTCTCTTCTCATAAACTCTATAACATTGGCTATTATTTCGCGAGATTGACTGTTAATCACGCGGCCTCTTAATTTGCTATTAAACTCCATACTTAGGTTCTATTAAACTGTAATGAGCAAAAAACACAAACGAAAATAAAAGAAATGTTTTAGAGAAATTTACATCTGACATTTACGACTGAATGAAATAGTGAAATACTTGATGCGCAGAGTGTACTTTCATTGCGTAAATCCGTCGGGATGCCTGTCAGTAGTGCTTTCTCTGTCTAGCCGTCGAAAGCCTCTAGAAATTTGATGAACTGTAAATATGAGTACAGAAAAAGGTTTCCATATCCATATTTTTTTATTATATTACCTGTAACATTTATAACAAATAAGGAATTTTTGGAAAAGGTTTCGACGTAGATTTCTAAAATTTCTCTGGCACTCGTAAAATCAAGTTAGAAATTTTTTTGTTACATGTATTTTTTATTATATTATTTGATACATTTTAAATTAAAATTTTACTGTTGGTTTATCAAAAGGATTGACCATTATAATTTTTCTTCGCTAATAAAACGCAATTTTAGATAAGCAAATACATTCTAAACCCAATTAAATAAAATATTGGTCAGATGCGTGCAATGAAGTAGGTAATTTTTTATTGAATGTTTTTATTACACTTTAATTATTAATTTGGGCTTAATTAATCACATAAAATTTAATGTCTTTTTTTATAGAATCCATTCACTCTTACACCATATTCTATTTTTCATTCTATACAAGTATTAACATTGGTGGCGCTAGAATTTAGAAGGGGATGGAAATTTATAATTGGAGCTTAGATTAAAAAGACCTAGACCATTGTAAAAATTTAAAATCAATAAATAAAATAGATAATCATGCCGGTAAAAATATCTACATTTATTGTCAAACCCATGGTAGTAAATATGTATCTACAAATAAATAGACTAAATCAATGAGCTAAATTTGTAAATATATAATAACAAAAACAACACCTTAGTATATTAAGGTACTGAAGATGTATACAAGGTGATTCATAACTATTGAGATATATGCTAATGACAGGTTATTTGGACCAAAATAAGGCGATAGAGTTAAATATACCTTCATAAAATATTGCTGTGGTATAAGATACAGGGTATTAAATAATAATAATAATAAAAGACTATAATCTCACAGCATAAATAATTCACTGACAAATAATGACATATGTACAAGATGCAATTATCTGACACTGCAAAGCACACTTTTCATAAATGAAATATTTTTTAAATTCCGTCTGAGACAATTGCGTTTTTCTCGTCAAAAAAGTTACCACTTAATTTCATCATCAGAAATCATTCACGTGGCGCCCCAAGTAACAAAATGTGAAATAATACATAAAAAATATGCCTCTGCGCCGATTTTGATAACAATTTATAAATATACTGTGACATTATAAAAATAAACGACAAAAAAAACTTATTCTTATTCTACAGCAATATTTTATTATGATATATTTGGTCCTATCGCCATATTTGGGTCCAAATAACCTGCCCTTAGCCTATGTCCCAATAGTTTTTAATCGCCCTGTATATAATAATACAAGTATTTTGATCTGCCAATTAACCAGTACGTTTTTTGTATTACACATCTAGCTCTTTCATTTTCTTCTATATTAATACCTATAATAAAAAATAATATAATAATACTCTCCCCAATTCACCCCCTTACGAGTGAATTTTAACTCCAAAACCTGAGCTTGTCCGAAGAAAGGGACGGCCACTATTATTATTTGTCGTGGCACTCCGAGGCTACTTAAAGATGATTGATGGTGTCATTCGACTTACAGGTAAGGAAACCCCGGAAAACCCTACCTACCGTCATCAAAAAGTAGCCCATGGCAATTTTTATTATCTGGATGTCATATCAATAGAAATTAAATTTCTGCAAATAGATTTACATGGTCTTCTGTAGGATTAAGCCAGGTGTGTCTCTTACCAAAAATTGCTCGCAAGTGAATGCGAGCGCCGTAAACGCCTACGCTGCCATTCCGATTTACTGTTACCCAGAAATAAGTACCAAGGATTATGAGGCTGTGAAAAAATTTAAACCCACTGAATAAGAATGATCTCAGTTGTCAAAGGTACTATTTTGTACAATGTTGATGTAGAAAATTTAATCACATTTAAAAAGACTTAAAAAGAACTTCTGATTAAATTAACTCAATTATATGTAATTATCGAACAGTCAGTAATTGCTAGTTTACCCCCTTATGCGACACCTCTGAAAATGTATTGCGAAAATTCTAATTCTTATCAATTTTATTACAACTTTCGAAGAATCATTTAATTCCATTAAAGTTATATATATCCACATTATTTAATGCCAATTTTATTATTATAGGTAATTAAAATACTGTTATTTTAAAAGTGGACTTTCCTATTGATTAAGCACAGAATAGTATCTTTTTAAATCGAATATATCTGTCGAATTTTAGAACTCACTTTCTTTTTCTTAATTTTCTAGGATAATAAAATATTAGTCAACCTTCCATTACTTTTCCAATAAGTATAGGGTAGGATCGCTCAAGAGTACGCACTTAATCAATTTGATTGAAAAAAAAAAAATATATCTGAAATGTTTTAAACGTAAACTTTATTCAAAATATTTTAACTCCTATACTAATCTGAACTTCTACCACAAATTTTTCAATAAATCTTAAAATATAAAACAAACAGTAAAGTTTAAACAAGTACAACAAATTGCGTATTCTTAGGTTACCGGTCCCTTAAGGATACTCAGTCATACCCCAAAGAGTACGCATATAAACACAAGAGTACGCGAAAATAGGTAAGGCCATATAAGCCATTAATATCCCAATCCTATAATTTGAACATGAGTCACAACAAAATGTACCACTTATTTGAGCAGTCCTCATGCCACCATATTTGACACAAATGACACATAATCCAATCCGATGTAGAATAGTGTACAGAACAACCAGGACATATCGTATCGTCTTTTTTATTGTCAGCTTTTCTTTTCTTCTGTACTAGTCCAGTCTGAGCATTTTTTTCTGGATCACTGAAAACTTTTATTTTTCCGCCTTTCTTCTTTACAACTTCTTTAAGCTTATCTTCGATTTCTTCTAAAAGATTGTCTTTGTAAGGGGTAGATGATACAATTTCGGACTTAGATTTGGTTTTTCTTACTTGTTCATGGGCAGCTTTTGGTAACAGCAAAATCATTTTAGGTTGAGATACAACCACTCGAGCCAGGTTCCCTTAATGTCGCAGGCGCAGTCTTCGAATTGGCTGAATTTTTAGAAATGTCCTGTTGTTCTTCATTTAGAATCTGTTTTTTAATCGTGATAGTACCACTTGGACCTGGTTCGCCTAGTACTGTTGACGCAGGCTTGGAATTAGTTACACTTGCTTGCTTTTGTTTTATAATATCCCGAAGCTTCGCAAGAGTGTCATTATCCTCGTCAGATGAGCTATCATCGATAGATGATCTCTCTATTTCAGTATGAATTTCTTTGACCTGCTCTTGTTGCGGTCTATCCGTGACTTCAGATGGTGCAAAATCTGATTTACTAAAAATGTCCGGGTTATATGGAAACAAACCAGTGCAAGCAAATAATTTTTCGCATATTTGTATTGTAGCGACTTTTGAATAAGCAGCATATGGAAAAGACCGGCCATTTCTTTTACAGTAATAGCACGTCCAGGATTGCTGACCATCCATTTATCGCACTCGTTTGAAAAAGCTGTTTTAGGGGAAAGAAAAACCCCCTATCCAAGGGTTGAAGTTTATGGCTTGCATGGGGCGGTAAGGTTAATAAAGTTATATAATGACTTCTGGCGAATAAAATGGCATCCAATGAGCAGTGAGATATGTGATTGGCCATTAATAAAACTACTGGATCTGTTTGTGACGGTTTTACAAAGTTATTAAAATGTCGCAACCAAGTTAGAAACAAATCAGTATTCATATAGCCCGAATCTGATATAATTTTGAGTGTGCCAGATGGTGCTCCAAAAAAAAGTTTATCCTTCATCCTCTTTCTTGCAAAAAAAACGGTGGAACCCAAATACCACCGGCGCTCATGCAGCATACAGCAGTGACTAGCTATCCTCGTTCATGTGACACAACTTTTGACACGGTTTTTTTGCCTTATGAAGCATAAACTTTAGGTAGCTTGTTTGGGACGGTATATAGTCCCGACTCGTCCATATTAAAGATTCTGTGTGGCGGTAATTTCAATTTTTCGTACACTAATTTAAAATTTTCGAAAAATCGTTGACACTGCACCTTATTAAAGCCGATGGCGTGACCTAAGCTGCATTTTTCTAGAGCTTTAAGAGACAAATTATTTCTTGATGCAAAATCTTGTACCCAGTGCTTTCCCGCCATTTTATTTTCTGTGTTAAACCTATGCGGAAGTTTGTTTAATTCTGCATACTGAAACGCCAACGATCTTACGTCTTTCATACGCAGTCCATAAAATCAGAGATCTAGATCTCTGAAATGGTCAGCCAATTCCTTTTCCTGCGCTTTTGAAAATACGGGCTTAAACCTACCCAAACTAGATGGAATGGTACCCTAAAATAAAAAATTTACTTTTATTTCAAATCTAAAAACATCATTTTTTTATTACCTCTCGCAATTTTTTTTTCTCACAGTACACTCGTTTATGCCGAATGATTTTGAGACGGACCTCTTACTTTCCCCTCTTGAGATACGATCTCTTGCTTGGTCAAGGATTTCTTGAGTGAATTTTAATGTTCTATCACTCTTACGCTTGTATTTGCCCATCTTAGCAAGCTAAAACAGAAAATAACACGTACACCTCAGATGCCGCTAAGAGTACGCATGAATCCTAAGAGTTCGCATACGTACTCTTTGGCTGCGTACTCTTAGGAAGAATGGCACAAAAATTAATATTTTTATTAGTATTATTTACCTAAAACCTTCATATTTGGAAACGAATATAATAAAAAATAACCAATAAAGCTTAAGTAACTGCATAAAATCTAAAATTGGCAAAATATCGAATTTTAAACACTATCTCCCATTTAATGCTATGTTCCACGTGACGTAACCGTCAGTCAGCTGCATGCGCAGGAACATACCGTTACTCTGTGTTTCGTGACTATTCTTCTTTTTTAGGTTCCTTATTCTTTTAACGTATTGTTGCCATCCAATTGTACATAACCTTATTTATAACAGCCTTTTAGCTTGTTTTTTTTATTAATAATTAAATATAATTTACTTTCTGATTATCACAGTATAAATTTATATTTTGTTTTCATTTACTTTTCTAATAAATGCTGGTAAGCAAAATATAACCTAAAGTGTTGAAAGTAATTTTTAAATCTGCTGTTTTTAGTTATATATAATTTAATGCTTGTTGGGTAGTAAGCCGCAGAAGTAATTATTTTCCAAAGATGAAATAGTAACTTTGAAAGTGGCGATTTAAAAAGGTAGATAAATTCTTTTTACAATATAAACATAGGAAAACGATTTAATTATACCATCACCTGGCACATTGTTAAAATATTTCGTTATATAATCTCTCCACAAACAATATTTTAAAAATTATACACGGCAGATTTTTTTCTTCCTAATTAATTTCATTAAAGGTATTTACAGAAACCCTTAAAATGAATTAGGCAGTCTATTCAAAATATGCCACCGCATCTGCCAAAGGATTGTTCAACAATAAACGTTAATTACCCAAATTTTACGTAAAATTCCCGCAACCCTGCATTGTTGTCGTCTACCAACCCTTACACTTTCCAAAATTTATTACCACTTAAACCTAAAAAAATGTCGTCAATTGCGTTAATCAACTTAATCAACCCGTTCAGTGATTCAATGTTCTTGTTATAGAGATGTTATCTCGTTTATCCCCTATGTATACACTGAGAAAAAATTACAGTTAGAATAAGTAAACTGTTTTCGGTTTGATGGAACTTTTAAAAAATTTTTGATATCATAAGTTTTAAAAAAATCATTGGAGAAACAAATTGTATTTGTGTTCTATTAAGTTTTCGTAATTAAATAAAAAATTAATAATTATTTTTAAAAGTTAATTTTTTTTGGTAATAGGGTTGCAGCATAGGCTGTTATAAGAAAAATTGATTATCACTTAGTAAATTATGCTTTGTTGTTGTCCTATATGTATAAGGGGTAGAATTTGAAAGGAGTTGGACATTTGTCCTTTTCCACCACGATTTTTCTAAAATACTGTTATTAAGATTAGGTCGCATAGCCTGAAAAAAAATAATAGTCACTCAGAAAAAAATTATTATCTACATTTAAGAATAGCTTTACACTTGGAAGATTACATTTCTTTGAAATAAAGAGCAGAGTTTGCTTCAAATAATATTTCTCGATACAATAAGAAAATAAATGAAGTATAGGCAAAATCTTGTATTTTAAGAGTTATAATAATTAATCTGAGAATAAATTATTTTATTTGAGTATATAATTGTGAATTAATCCAAAAAAGCTCTTAAGTTTATTATAAGTATGATATGCTCTTAAAACCAACTATTGCGTACTTGATTCAATATTATAAAATGATTCGGTTCAAAGCATTTAAATTTCAGAACAAGAATTATATAATTCGAATCAAAAACAAAATATTAGCTAGTACAAATTCACTGCACGGTGTTGCCAGCTGAAACTTATTTTAAAATGCAACCCCTGCACTGATACGGTAGATATATGACTGGCACATGTTGAGATGTGATACTTATTATTCGGAAGTCAGAGACACAACGCATTTATAGAGAATCTGTCAAATTGGCATTAGCACGTGTTCATCCTATTGTCCATTTTCTAACATGTTTGCATCGTATCGTTAGGGTTGCGTTTTACTTTTTGTTAGAAATTCTTTGTGATTTAATTTAAGTAGTGTAACAACAAATTAAATTGAAATGGAACATTTGTTAAATAAATGGGGCCCAGCGACTTGATACCAATATTTAAATGTAAGTATATTTAGTTCACTTCCTGTTAGGTATTATTATAATATAAGTAAATTTATAATAAGAACAAACTGTAAAAAAATAATGTTGCTGGATGACGACTTTTTGGATAGACGACTTCTGCCTTGCTAGGACAAGAGGTCGTATCTACGAAAATTCTGATTTCTAGATTCTTACATATTTAATAAGCTTACATTTTATTTTATTATAACACACAATAATAAAGGCCTATTTGCATTAGAAAATATTTACTATAATTATAAGAAAAGGTTAGTAAAATATGCAAAACTTATTTGCGAAGTCTAATAGGACGTACTTATCTACCTACCCACATTTACTAAAAATATTCATTTTGTAGATACGACCTCTTATCTTAGTAGGACAAACTTTTATGTTCCATACAGGTTTTGAAGTTATAAATTTTTTTTTTTAATTATAGGTGGGACACCTCAGATGACGGAGGAATTTGGTATATTAACTAAAAACAATTTTGAAAAGTGTTTTTCGGTGAATAGGTACCAGTGAAAACCCTATTAAAAAGCAAGAACAACCTGATCTTATTCAACCAAAATTAATATATTTATGTCAAAGATTATATTATTATTGTAACAAATTTAGTTTGTATTGGATTTAAGAACAAGGTATTGAATATAAATAAAATATATTTAAAAAAAGTGCAAGACTTCTTATTTCAACATTATTAATTTCTTCAATGAAACTATTCTATAATTCAACCAAAATCAATATATTTATATCAAAGATCATATTATTATTATTATAACAAATTTAGTTGTATTGGATTTAAGAACAAGGTATTATTGAATATAAATAAAGTATATTTATAACAAGTGTAAGACTATTTCATTTAAGATGTACATAATACTGCAATTGAGCAATAGATACTCTTAATTTATTTAGAGGTATTTTGGTTAGGGCAAGTTGATTCTAATCTTGAAGCCAAGCTTATTAGCACTTATTAGCAGCTCTTGTTGAAGAAGTATTACTAGAATTTCAAATCGAGACGAGTTTTACTTGCGGATACACAAACACAACAAAGCATTGAAATAAGACCATTCATCTTGAATATAGTACACCTTTTTTTGGGGAAGTTCCCGTCATAAAAGGGAGGGCCTGGTTTGCGGACCTTTTTTTAGAATTTACTAAGAAAGAATCTAATTTTTTCATGAGGACTTTTTTTGTAGAAGTGCGCCAGGGTTGCAAAGTAAAATTAGGGCTCCGTCAAATATTTC